AAAAAATTTGTTGTACCAAAGCCACAAATTCGGACCTTATTTCCATTTGCAACAGTTACATGCTGAGGGTGTTTAATTTGCGTGACATTTCGAACTAAATTTTTATCCCATGTCATATGATCGGTAGCACCCGAGTCAATAATCCATTTACTTGTATTTTGACAAGAATTAGCTATCTTGGAAAAATTTAAATCAGATTTGGATAGAGTAATACCTGAAGTTTGTTGTTGTAACAAACTATTTAACTGGGTCACCAATTGGGCCAATTGTACAGTAGGTGTCACTAAAGGCCCAGAAGCATTGTTGGTCAGTTGGGCCGCTTCAGGTCCAGTTTCTTCATTTGAACTCGCCTCCATCCCTTTACTTCCACCTCCAGATCTTCTCTCTTTCTCCCTTCTTGCACCGCCCCAATTTCCTCTTTCCCCCGTGTTCCTAGCTGGCCGGAGATGAGGGTGGAGTACCCAGCAACCGTCACGATTGTGCCCTGCACGCCTGCAGTGTTCGCACCAGTCAGGGACAGGGTTTCCCTTTGTCTTGGCCGCATTTCGGAGGTTGAGGCTTGGGTGTTGTGCCCTGAAGGCTCTGTTGCTCTCGGTGTTTTCCGATTGTTGGGGGTTCATGAGCTTCCTCCGTGACTCCTCTTGTTCTATGGTTGCCACTATATCATCGAAGCTCGGCATTTCAGCTGAGAGGAGAATTTGGGAGCGAACCGCTTCATAGGTAGCATCGAGTGCCCCTAGATACGTGAAGATGAGGTCATTTTCATTCCTTTTTTGAATTTCAGCTGGGTCGGTTGTAGGTGGAAGATAGGTATTGAGCTCCTCCCATTTGGACACAATCTCGGTCACTAATTGCATGTTGCCTTGGTTGTTTTGTTTGATTTTTGCAATATCTTGTTTGAGGCTAAATATGTGGGCAAAGTTTTTTTGCTGGCCGTATAACTTCTTGGCTTTGTCCCACACTTCTTTGGACGAATTGTAGTACATAAACATATTGGCAATTTGAGGTTCCATGGTGTTCAGTAGCCACGCCATGACCATATGGTCTGTGGTTTGCCATTCTTCAATTTTGATGGTTTCTGCCTCAGTCTGGTTTTGGGGGTCTGCTGGTTTAGGCTTTTCCTTGGTGCCAGTGATAAATTGCAGCTTGCCTCTTCCACTGAGACCAATAGTTACTGATCTGGACCAAGGAATGTAGTTTTTGTTGCCATTGAGCACTATAGTTGTGAGCTTGGTGTTATCAATGTGTTGAGACATGTTTCCCTTCTTCTCTGCTGTCCTCGTTTGATTGGTAAGTGTTGGATCCCGGCCCTGATACCATGTAGAAAATGGAAGCAATGCATTTTATAGGGTGCTTCACATGTACAAGAGGTGATATATAAGAGAAAGCTAACGGTAGCCTATGGGACAATTTGAAAAAGGTGGACAGTGTAGGTAAGCTATTTTCCAGAATAGTCTGTGATGGGTAGACCACAAGTGGGCAACAGGCTGTAAAATCCTTTGTACATTTTTGACTAATCTCATTTCTCAACAGTTAAGAAAATGGTTCTAAATGTAGATAGAAAATCTCACATAATGTGATTTCCCCTTCATCATTTGTAAAATGAAGGGAAATTTTGGGTACAATTTTATTGACTTGGGCTGATTTTCTGTTAAAATATTTTTTTTTAATGAAATAATTAAGTCTCTAATTGGAATTCGTTTTATTTTCTTTAAATTCTACTATTTAAAGTCAAATATCAATTTTAACCACATATTTAAGATTCACAAGTATTATCAACTACTTATAAAAATAATGATAAAAATAATGAGAGGCTATATAGTCCATTTTTAATTCTATTTCACCTTTTTACGTGATAAATAAATAAATGCATGATATGCCCAAAACAATTGTTGTGCATGATCCACGAACTCCATGTCATTCGTCAGATTGGATGTAATCGCTTGGATTAACGGTTCATGAGGATTGTTGAGAAAGAGAGTTCTAAAAAGTGCTTGTGTGATTTTCATTATAAGTTACTAAAATTATAATAAAAAGAAATAAAGATATTTTCAAGAGACTTTCTGAATAAAAAAATGCTCTTTATTTTAAAGAGTTAATACTTAAAAATAAGTTCTAACTGACTATCCATTTTAACTTTTTTAAATAGAAAGTATATTTGACTCTCAAAATTTAGAGAGCTAAATCTACTCTCTATTTAAAATATATAATGATTGCATTTAATAAATCATATATTTCAATACGCTGCTTGAAATATTTAAACTTCATTTAAATTGATTGACAATTAACATATAACAAATTATGTTAAATTAAGATATGAGGAGAAATCAACACGTTTTTTGAGAAAAGTAAAATAAATAGTCAAAACAAAGAACATTATTGGAGAGAATAAAAATTTCGACTCTTTAAATTTAAAGATGCTTTCTATAATAAATAAATTTCTTTTTTGAAAATGTTCTAAAGCCATGTTTGATTGCACTTTAATTTCATGATAGATGAAATTAAATTTCATTTTTTACCTTTTTGCATGTTTGATTGCCCAAATTTTTCATGTAATTGGTTTTTCATCTTTCACCCACATGCTCACATTTTCTTGATTTTTGAGAAAAAGCTTTTCTCGCCACTTTTGAGGAAACAAATTATATCCCTTTAATGGACAATTTTCATGGAAAACAAAGCCAAACGAATACCAAAATATCCAAAATTTCAATATTTTTCAGGTGTAAAATTATACCAATCAAACACAATTAATTGATAATTCACAGTAAAAACATGTTCTAGACAATTCAATTCCCTATAGTTCATTTTTTGTGGAAATTACATAGAACCAGATTTTTTAAGTTACTATTTCAAAAATCAGATTTAAAACTTGTTTATACAAAAATCAGATAATAATTTTATATTATTCATAATATTATAAAATTAAATTAATATACACACCTTTGCCCTCTCCACACCAAAATCTCTCTTCGTTCTCTCCATTCTCTTTCTTCCTCTATTGTCGTTGCAGTAACGACGATGCAGTCGTCGCTACGCTCAGAGCGCAACGATCATTGTCGCTGTAGCGGTCATCTTTGATTTTTGGGCGATCTAGGGTTGCGATGGTTTGTCGTCGCTACGCTCTGAGAGAAGAGGTCATCGTCGACCGGATCTAGTTTGCAATCCATGGTTGACCGGTTTTTGGGCGACGATGGTGGTAAGTGAGAGCGCTGTTGCTGGTGGTGGAAAATGAGGGGAAATTTTGGAGTAATGGGTGTCAAGAGTTTTTGGGGTAGTTGGTGGTGGTTTACAAATGGTGGCACTGTTTTTAGTTGATGGTGGTGCTAGCGTGGCGGTATTGGTAAGGTGGTGGTCGTGGTCGTGGGGATGACTGATTATTTTTGGATCTGGTTTTTTGGTGGTGTTGGTTGTGATGTTGACTGTAGTGGTGAGTGGAGGCGGGGTGTAGCGACTATGGTTTTGGGCTTTTGGGTTGGTTTCTTCCTCCGATCTGTTTCGTCGGAGCTTTGGCGGTGCTCACCAACATTTTTTTGTGGTTTTGAATGGTAGCGATGCTGGCCTGTGGTGGATCAGGCAGGCGGCGATAGTGAAGGTGGTAGCGGTAAGCGCTCTAGAGACCTTGGCAGGGGGTACCCTTTGGCTGGCTATTGGCACTGCGGTGATGTTGGTGTGGTGGTGGGTTACGGTGGTTGTACAAGTCGTGATGTTGGTGCTACAGGTGGTGGGGGATCTGGTGGTGGTGGTATGGTATTTGGATGTTGGTGGGGGGACGATGATTGTGGGTGGATAGTGGTGTTGGTGGTGATGTTGGCTACGGTATTCGAGACGATGGTTTTGTTGTCGGGAGGTGGTGTTGATGGTTTTGGCGACGGTGGTTCGGGCTATTGCAACGGTGTGATGGTGGTCATAAGCGTTGGTGGTGGTCACAAATGATTTGGTTGTTGTGACCAATAAATTGGTAGTGTGTGACCAATAAACAATATGTGATCAATGAAATAGATAAATTGTGACCAATAAATACTGAGTGACTAAAAATTTATTAATTTGTGACCAATAATTTGGTAAATTGTGACATAAATATAAATTGTGATCAATTAATTTAATGTTTTGTGACCATAAGTGACTTATATAATTCGTGATTTGTGACCAATAAATAATATGTGATTATTAATTTGATAGATTTGTGACCGATGAATAAATTGTGAGATATAAATTTTTGATTTGTGACCGATGAACAAATTGTGACCTATAAAATTTTTGAATTGTGACAATAAAATAGTTTGTGACATATAAAAATTGTGATTTGTAAATTGTGACATAAATATAAATTTTGATCAATTAATTTAATGTTTTGTGACCATAAGTGACTTATACAATTCGTGATTTGTGACCAATAAATAATATGTGATTATTAATTTGATAGATTTGTGATCGATGAATAAATTGTGAGGTATAAATTTTTGATTTATGACCGATGAACAAATTGTGACCTATAAAATTTTTGAATTGTGACAATAAAATAGTTTGTGACATATGAAAATTGTGATTTGTGACCAATTATATGGAATTGTGACCTTAATATATTTAATTAATAAAATATATGTTTAATTAATTAACTTGTAAATAAAATTTAAAAAACTCTGAGAATTGAAATTTTAAACATAATCTCTTAAATTTAAAATTGGTAAAATTAAACCTCTTAGTTATGAAATATTCTTTCGTTTTTTTTTTCACCCATGGACAAGTCAAAGATAGGAAGCCCAATCTCTCAGCCCGGACCGACATATGCTTTAACGAGTCGGACCAGCCGATTTTGCTACGTAACAGTTCTCCGCTTTTCCGATTTATAAAAGCTTGCCTTCACCGGGAGACGGAGTTGACACCCAGAATTTTCGCAAAAATTGAAACAAAATAAGGAGAAAAAAAATAAAAAAAAACTCCCACAAAATAAACAACGCCCCGCAAATATGGCAATAAAAAGTTGTGAAGTTTGCGACAAAGCACAATCGAAATATAGATGTCCTACTTGCCTCATACCCTAGTAAGCTGTTCTTTCTGTCTGTAAAATTTCTAGTTTTTTTTTTTATTTGCTTTGAATTTTTAATTTTGAAACTGACTATTTAATTGATGATTAATTTGCGTTTTATTTTATTTTGCCACTCGCAGTTGTTCATTAGTCTGTTTCAAGTTACACAAAGGTATATATAGTGTCCCTGTCCTGTTTTGGCTATTTGTGATGTATGTGTTGTTTAACTGGAGCTTTTATCTGATTTTTTGCAGAAATTCCTTGCAAAAAATCCGAATCTTCGCCTGGGGAAAAATTCAGTAAGACAATACTGTTTGTACCATATAATTGCTTTTAAAATGTATCGAGTTCTTTTGATTGGATTTTTTTTCCCTTTCACACAAGGTTTTTGGTTGCTGCTTGTAGAATGTGAGTGCTAGAAGAAATTTTCACTTATGCGTACATGAATAGAAACGACTTACTACGTTTTTTGAAACTAATACTAGATTTCAGGTACAAATATAATCACTGACCTGTGATTGTATTACACTTATCATGATCGACAAGCACGAAAATATAGGTCTAGCAGTCTGTTCTCACCTATCAATAGATAGCTGGTTGCTTCGTTTAACTCTCGGTTATTTTGAGGTCACACCTAGATGTCTAGTTTGCTTATGTTAGCTATTGCTCCACAATATCTGCACCAAACAGGCATTACTCCTAGATGTTCCGTCAACTGACATGCCTAGAGCCAACCTTTTCTAGGTTTGAGTGTCATTTCACTCCTAACCACAACTAATTTGTTGGTTCTTCAATGTTGGTTGGTTTGGACCCCAATTAGTTGTACCCAAACTTTATCCTGGCCATGGATTTATCACCAATGTTCTCATTCTTCATCCTTGCAATTTAAATTTTTATGTTTCGTGCAAATTTATTCACAAAGAAGAATGTGGCATAGAAGTAGCTATTTAACCTAGGACTGGTCTGATTTCTCCTCTGTTTCGCAAATACAGACTGATTTAAAATGTCTTCTTAAATGATATGAGATCACTGTATTTCTGTTTTGGTGGAGTCTACAAGAATATGTTTGAGATCCTATTATGTTTAAGACCGTGAAATTCGAAAATCCTTAGCTTGTTATTTTTTTAAGAGTAGATGTTTGTTCATTGTTTTTAGACAAAGCTTTTAAAGTCAGTTTTGTTAATAATACCTTAATATGAAAAAGGTTACTGGTGTGCAATATAGGATGCAATATAGGAATTAGTTAATAAACATTAGAAACCTTCTTGCAAGTTACCTTTGCGGGAACTTAAATTTAAATTTAATTGCTAGGATTTATTACTGTAATCACATTTTTTGTTGGGGATTGTAGTCCTTTTATCTATTAAAGATTTTTGGTTATAAGTTTGTATTACTCCATCGAGATCCTAATGAAAGGATTTGAGGTGTAACAAAGTGGTAACGAAACATCTAGGTGCTGATTCAGTGTGCCTCCTAGATTAACTTTAGGATAACGACTTGAGAAAGGACACCTTGGAAGGAATATTTTTTGCTTTTATGCTAATTACATAAATACGAAGCTGATGACACACAAAAAGTGCAGTTCAATTAAAAGGGCCAAAGAGCGAAGCCCAATTGAAGGTCCAGTGCGAAAGCCCAGAAAAGAGTGTGGACAAATGACATGGAAGCCCACACGCAAAGTAACGCTATCGCCCAAACTAGCAGAATGCCCAGAGCCAGAGCGANGGAGTCGTGTGGTGACAGTTATAAACGACAGTTTTTGACATGTTGGTCATGACAAAGAAAATGGGTGGTTTCAAGCAGTTTCTAAACGATTTAAAACTACCCAAGCCGTATAAAAGAAAGAGGAAGACAACGAAGATAACCCCGACAAAATTCACTCTCAAATAGAGAATATATAATTTATTTATTTTTAGATTAACTTTAATTATTTCAATTCCCTTGTACTTGTATGCTTGCGCCCCTTGGAGGCATCTTGTTCGCGTTCAAACTGTAATCTTCATATTCAATAAACACCCTTTTTTGGGATTTTGTTCTAAGAGGTTTGTCCCTTACACTTCCTGTACTTGTGTGCTTGCTCCCCTTGGAGGCATCTTGTCCACGTCCAAGCTTGTAATCTTCATATTCAATATACACCCCTATTTGGGACTTTGTTCTAAGAGGTTTGTCCCTTACACAATCGTCTGATACCTTTTTAATTGTTAGCGAGTAAACGCGCGAAACAGAAGCCAAGGTACAACTAAGTGAAGTATTATGTTTTAATGCCAGTTATGTGAAGTTGTATATGACTGTCTTAAAAGCTTTCAGAATGTAATTAGAAAACGTTAAAGATCATCATTGTCCTTAGGTGTTGCAAACAACAGAAAGAAACAGTGAAATTCCGAGCTTATAGTTGGTGATAGTAGAAGCAAATATTTGATGGCTACATAGGCTCAATTCAGTACCAACTGATGGAGGATACTCACTCTGTTCAATTAAATAGAATACGAAAAGCATCTTGTGCTTTAGTAAAGCGAAGAGTTAGTTCTCCAGCCAGCATGAGCAGTGAGCTTTTTGATGGTGCATAAATAGGTGCTTTGGGATGGGATTAATATTTTTATTGATGTATAGAGCAGCATCACCAAGTGGCTAGAGTTTTGATTGCTTATTAGTAATGAATCCAGTATAAATTTTGGATACTAGTAACATTAATAGGGCAGTGGGTTGTGGGGTCTTATAGACGTAAAATGTAACGACATTTCTCGATTTACATATGAGTTTGGCCAGACAACCTTTTTCATTTGATTTAGCTCCTGTTTGTTGGCCATTATTTGGGGAAAACAATGTGTTGAATAGTGATTTTTAGGAGAATGTGTGGTTAAAAAATAGAAAAAGTTAATGGGTGGTTAAAAAATAGGAAACGTTTTGGGTTTACGTGCAAAATATTTTATTGTGTGAATGAGTGGAATCGGTATGTAAAAAAAAGAGTTTAAAATAATGGTTGTCAAATAGGGGCTTAATATAATACTATAATTCAATTCGAGGGTAAATTACTAGATTGCACATTACTCTGTTAAAAGTTATAGGAGGTTGAAAAGAGAGAAAAATGAGGATGCTGAGGAATCATGAATGAGAAAGATACTATTGACTAAAAATTGGAAGGAATTGTGAAGGAGAAGGGTTTGATGATCTGGAAAATATGTGAGTCAGCTAGAGATCATTCATCAATTTTCTGATGTGGAGCAAGTCCAGAAATGTTAGTAGTAGTTGTAGACAGATATCATGGGATGAAGAAGATGTAAACTTCCCAAAAACAGGGCCATTCTGAGATGGAACAAATCTTTTGGCAATAAAGACTGTCATTTGGAACCAATGAATCTTTGATTTAGGAGCCAAACAACACAATATTAACTGGAGCTCTTTTGTCAAATCTTACTTGCATATCAAGTGCATCTTTTGTCGAATCTTACTGGAGCTCTTTGGAAATACTTTTACTGAAGTAAGTGGAGAGGTTAAATGATGGCTTGTTAATGTACTGATCTCAGAAAAATGTTAATGGAAATATTCAGAACTCAATAAAATTAAGCCCTTGTTTGAGCCCCATTTTGGGGAAAGAATGTGTTTTGGAATGGTGATTTTTTTGGAGGATGTGTGGTTAAAAAATAAGAAAAAGTTTTCAGTTTACGTGTTAAATTATTTTATTGGAGAGAGTGTGTTGAAAATGGGTTTTGAAGAAATGAGTTTTTGATAAAATGGGGCTCAAACAAGGGCTAAAATTTCAGTACATTAACTTAGCAACTGGGTGACGCTTGTCAATGCAATCAGCAATTCCAGTTAGCTGCGTCCTTCTAGCCCATTCATATCACAAGATTTTCTCACATATTGATTCCTAGCTTTCTGCTCATGTGCATAAGGGTTAGAGACAATAAAGAGAGGGGAAAGAGCAGAGATTGCGAGAAACTGGTTTGCATAAATGCAATGATTTCCTCATTTCCATTTCAATTTTTCTTCGACTTACCTTCCATTGTTATGAATTGAACAATTAGCTACTGTCACAGTCAGCACTACCAGCATTTCCAGCTAATCCAATCTTTCTAGCCGATTCATATCACAAATTTTGCTCACATATTGATTTCTGATCTTGCACAGCTGAGACAGTGAAGAAAGAGAGCAAAGAGCAGAGACTGCAAGAAATTGATTTGCGTAAGTAAACTTCAATGGTTTCCTCATTTGTCATTTTTATTTCTACTTTCTTCCGGTGTTATGAATTGAGCACTTAATTATTTCTCCTCATATTCTCTATTTTTGATGCTCGATAGTTATCTGCGTTAATCTTGGTGGAATTAAAGTTCTATCTTCATGTTTCCTTTTGGAATGATCACTTCTCTATGNCCCCCCCCCCCCCCCCCCCCCCCCCCCCCCCCCCCCCCCCCCCCCCCCCCCCCCCCCCCCCCCCCCCCCCCCCCCCCCCCCCCCCCCCCCCCCCCACCATCATGCTCACCAACATAAAATGCAAACACCAGCTCCAATCATGTTACTCTATAACTATTGTTTAGCAAATGAGATTTAACTGGCATCTCATGTTGTACGATTATTTAGAATGATAATGTTCATGTTGTGTCAGATTCTGATCCAGCGTTACTTGTTCAGAAACCATATTACGTCGATGAGCCGAATGAGGTGCTGCAAGAGTCACAACTATTGTCTATAGGTGAGATTTTACCAATTTGCAATTAAATGCACAATAATTTCTTCATGCTATGATAATTTTCTACTTGTAGTTGCAGTAGTCACAATAGATTGATAATAAGCAGCCTTCTGTGCAGCCTAGCCTGACTTGTATATCATGACTGCTCGTATTTGTGTGCGCTTCCGTGTGTATGGCCTAAACTTTACATAAAGAGTTGATGGATTCGATTTGTATAAGTATTTATGGTTCTGTTTTACAGAAAATGTAGTTTGATGTGTCTAGGGATATGTTTTAGAATAATGCCATCTAGTACCACTGGTGCTATAATACTAGTCTAGGTGGTACAAAGTGCTCTGTCCAATTAAAGATGGAAATATGAGACCTGTTTAATTACTACAATCATTTAATGCCACTTAGTGCCACCTAGATTGGTATTATAATATCAGTGGTACGGGTGTTAAAATAGCATTACTCTGTTTATAGGGAAGAGAAAAGAAAGGTTAATTTAAAGCATTTGACGTTCTTCGGATTTAGTAAAATTGGAAACAAACTAAAGAATCTGGCAGTATTATGTTTGGCTTTTTCAACTTTCAAGTCATGTTGTGAAATGGTGATTAGATATTTAGATTGATGGCGGTAAAGATATTTTTTCAACTACAGCCCTCCTAAGGAGCAGTTCCCTGTAAATTAACCTTGACCTTGGATCCTTGGTCTAGAATGATTGCAAAGTTTAATAAATTGGGTAAGCTGACGCTTGAACTGCATGTACTTGTACATAGCTGCAACTTAATATGAACTTTCACTTGTACAATTGTCTGGCCTTTTAAATCATAGCCTGCACAGATTAATAAGTTGAAAACATTACTCTCTGTACTTTGTGATTTCTTATTTTACATAAAGCATGTCATCCTCAAAAATCTTCGAAGTAAAACGGTATCTTGGCAAGCTCAAAAAACGTACTTGCAAGTTTTTGGCAATTGTGCCCTCTATATTGTGTCAGTGTTTCAAGTACAAGACCCTCGAAGGAAAATAGTTATAAGTAGAGTTCCAAGTGTCAAGTCACCAAAAAGGCTATTAAACATGCCTTTATGCAACAAGTTTCTGAAATGTCTACTTCCAGTCCAAATTTAAACAAAAACATGTTTTGATAGATTAAATTATTAGTAAATTTAAATATAAGATGTCTTTGTTTAACTTCTAGTCTGCATATTAAAATACAATTATATCCTCAACTACTTTGACTGGTAAACTGAAGGTTACTTTTTCCACTTTCTGCTTCTCATTTTCATGCAGCATCTTCTAATGAAATTCATGAGGGCCTGAAGAATGAAGAGCTTCGGAAACTTATAAATTATATTAGCCGTTCTTCTGATGCTGAGAATGTGAGTACCGTTAGTTCCTTTCTGAGGTAATGCTAAGGTTTTCTTATTATTATTATTACTATTCTTTTATTCTTTTTCAGGAGCTTGATAAAGCAATGCAGTCAGAGGAATTTCGCACTCTTACTGAAAAGGTATTGCTTTCAAAATTTAGGAAACAAACATCGTATGGTAATTATACACCAATTGTCGAAGTTGTAACACGAGAATCTGGAAACTAAAGCCTGAGCCGATGACTTATTGTTGTCATTATTTGCATTCTTTTAACTGCAGATTTTAACTGCAATCAGTCCCCTTAGATTTGTGCATCCTGCCGGGCGTAGTTGAGATGCTGTAAAACAATTCATGGAACGCAAAGAAATGTTGTTTTGCTTGCATATGTTCTCGATATAATCAGTTCACAGCTAAATGTGAGAATCGGGCTCTGCAAGTTTTCAATTCTACGCACACCCCTCAAATATCACACAGTTTCTTTCATGCTCCTCTTGATTTGGCTTAATAGTATTTTTTTTCCGTTTCAATGGAGGCAGACCATGGTTTTTGTTTTTTGTTGCTTTTGTAATGTAAAAAGCCTCCAGGATCCAATGCTGTTCAGGTTTAACTGGGTAATATTCATTTTTGTGATTAACCTAATTGTAGTTGGAGCATTTTTCTTCTCCTCTTTGATAAATTCCCCATTGTACACACGAGACTCAGGTCACAACCTACTAACAAGTGCATGTATAAACCGGTGCAGATCATCAAAATGTGGGCAAGTCCAAGTTGTTTTGAGCTCGAGCTCATTTGTCTAAAATTGCAAGGAGATCATGGTTTAGCTCATTGAATTTGGGACTATAAAGCCATGATCCAAGTAGAACAAGAGTAAGTATGGCATTCAACCCATCATATTCAACCCAACTCCTACAGGGAGGGTTAAAACCAGTGTCCTTAAAAGTTATTATACGAGTGATCTCGACCTCAATTTAGGAGAGAATGGGGTTTATCCTCTTGTATGGAAATTCTCTTCTATAACTTCCATGTTGATCTCCACGCGATAATACTGTTTGTGCACCTCCTAAGCTTGATACGTTCTTTTATGCTAAAAATGAAATAACCAAGAGAGGATTATACAATCAAAAATCGCAATGGTCAAAAAAGGAACTGCAACAAAATTGAGCATCAAATGAATCCTCTAGCCACCGCACGTCATCCTCACCCCCCTCAATGGGCTTCAAATTATTGGCAGTTCCGAAGTATATGTATGGTACATAAACAGTTATGGACAGTATAATAAATAAAGTTTTAATCTCTATTTTCTTCCTTAATATGGTCAATTGGTATCGAAACTTCCCTACCAGCATAAACTTAAGCCTCATATCTTAATTGGGTCACGGCAATTCCATTAGGCTGTTGGAACGCTCCATTTTTACTTAATTCTCACCTTGATGCATGCCACATTATATGAGATAGTAGTGATATTAGCACCACCGATGTTAAAATACCGGCCTAAATGACACTAATGTGGCACCAAATGAGAGGTACAAGTAAATAAATCACTTAATTATATATTTCATTAAACTTATCACATAACGTTACCTAGATTGATGTTCAAACATCAATGGTGCTAGATATCGTTATTCTATATGAAAAGGGAGCTTAGGATCCGAAATTTAAACAAAAGTAACAATTTAAGAGCAATAGTTACATGTTAGAGAAGCCATCTAGGATTAGCCAGCTAGTGTAGTCTATACTCGGATTCTTGTCTCTGTTACACTATAAAAATTAGTTGGGCAGAAGCCTCCCATCATTGATTCATCTGAAGATTAACCTGCAAAGATGCCGAATAATGTTGCAGATAAAATCCTAGTACTTAAGCTAAGCTAGGATAAATAGCAAAAGTACTTTTTTGTTAACTAACTAAAGACTTTCTTATAAAGTAAGTTTTTTAAAATAAAAACTCGAGACAAAAAGTAACTACAGGAAAAAGCTCGAAACATATTTGGCAAAATGAGTTACTTTTGAGCTTAGCAAAACTTGCTCCATACTTCAACACTAGTGTTATTTACCTGTGTCTCTTCCATGAACCACTTGCAATGATATTCTTTTATGACTTCTTTCAACTATTCGTATAAATGTACCAATTTTCTTATGAACTCTAAAAGAAAATATATTTATAACATGCCTACCAGATTGTCGATTCTCAGGGTTTCCAATGTCCTTTTTGCTACTTGGTTTGTGGGCAGCAGGCTGCATAATTGCTTGATTCTGCAGAATATGTTAAAGGTACTCATCAATAAAACTACCAACCGAAGAATGAAGCAAATTTGATTTCTGCTGAAGATGATGCATGATTACTTCTTCTAGATAAGTTTTTTGACTTGATTTCTGCTGAAGATGATGCATGATTACTTCCTCCTCCTAGATAAGTTTTTTGAAGATTAGATTTTAATGATGTGCCCTTGTCTGACAGCTTAAGTTTCTAACTGTAGTTCAATGTGGTTTTAGAGCAAGATAATGATCGACCAAAGTCAGGACTTGCTACTATTCATTTGTAAAAATTGTGCACACGTCATACCACAATGAAAAGACGAATCCAGCCATAGGGCGACAATACCATTCACTTACATGTCGCACTGTCCTTGATGATGGCCACATTAGACTAGGGTGGGAAATGTTTTTAGATTGTTTTGATCCTAGTACTCAACTCAAATAATTCAAAATTATAAAATGTTCAACTGAACATTATAACTAGAACATATTAAGCCCCTATTTGAGCTCCGTTCTTTATAAACTCATTTTTTCCCAAACTAATTTTCAACCATACATTCTCCCAATAAAATAATTTTACATGTAAATCCAAATCTCTTCCCTATTTTTTAACCACACATTTTAAAAAAAATGTGGCTCAAACACACTCTGAACTTTGAGAACTTATATAGGGAGTATCTTCAAGCTCGAGCTGGGCACATGTGAATTGAGCTACATCCAGCTCATAAGCATGCAAATGGATCACGTGCTAACCTAGGGGAAGTGATGACAGAAGTTTTTACTCGAAGATGATTAATTAGAAGAATGAACATATTTTAGTGCCAATACAATCCGACTCACCTGTGGCAACGGTATCTGTGGCTGATGGAGACCAAGATACTGTTGATAGGGATCGACAAAATTTGGAATTTGCAGCTGATTTGGATTCTGCGCCACAAGTGAGTTCAACATAGGATCTGACTGGTTAGGAGCTTGAATTCTTGTAGGACCAGGTACTGGAACTGGTGGCATAGGATATGTTGGCATAGGAAATCTTGGACCGATATGTGCTGTTCCAACTGGGTTGGTCATTGCTGCACCTGGAAGGGACGGAAATGGAACCATTGGCCGGTTCATGCCCATATCAATGCCCATACCCATTCCCATTCCCATCCCTATCCCTATCCCCATCCTCATCCTCATCCCCATACTCATCCCCATTGCAGGCATGAACTGTTGGACACCGGGATACGTCACTGGCACCATACCACATCCCATGGACATTATCTGTAAAATAAATAGTACCTTATTTCCTTTTAAAATGCACAAAATAACCTTCTGATGACATTAGTAAGTTCACATGCATATTTAAGGGCCTGCATCAAGCTATGGATATTGGAGTTGATTCAACTGACCAACAAGAAATTGCTAAGCGAAGATTCAAACCAACAAATATGCAGTCTTGAACATGTGAGAGAAAGATGATGGTTTTGGGGGGAGTGGGGTTGGGGTTGGGGTTGGGGAATGGGTTTAAAGGACATACCCACAACATGAGCGTTGAACACTGGTGATGAATTTTAACAGTGTTACAGAGAGAAGTATGACATTATTTGCAAAATTATTGGACTAAAAAGCATAAAGTACTTGTTTAGCTATTTTCCAGGATGCATTATGAAAGAGGATATTTACCTGTGATTCTACAAGATAATTTCATAGTTGATGGAACATTAATGAAAAAGAATAGGAAATGGTACCTGAACTTGCAGTTGCAGTGATTTTAAGTACTCAATTGCCTCATCCAGCATTGAAGCTTTGTCCAACTGAAATTCAGATTAGAGAATGAGAACTTAATCCGAAAGGAAAGTAGAGAAGCTGTTCTTGAAAGTACATGTTCTGCTAAGCTGAAAAATAAGTAACTTGCTTTCAGTTTTGATTGGTAAAGAAAGTAATTTATTTTACAATTTATTAATAAACTTGTAAGTAAACATTTCAAGTTTAGCCAAACGTATGCTCCTAACACGACAACAAAAATGTAAACATAAACTCCCAAACCTTGTTGCATCGCGGGATGAGTTCCTGCAAAGCCTTCATCTTTTCATTTATCCTATCTCGACGTCTCTACAAGAGTTGCAGCATTTAAATGATTGAATAAGCAATCATTTGGGAAAGAAGAACAGAATCGTTACTAGAGAGAGTTTATACCCTCTCTGATTGGTTGTGAACTTCTGCGGTACGAGATCTCTTTGTTGAAATTGAACCTTGGGCTTGCTTTTTGGCGTCGACAGACTCAAACTCAATGTCCTAAAGAGATGGAAAGATTCAAAATTAAATGGTTTCATCTAAATAAATTATCGGACACCATCTATACAGAAGCTAAAGAATAACGGATCCACAGCCCTATTACATAAGTATATGGTAATATGTTTGATTTAGTCTTAATCTCAATCCCACAATAAACTTATAAATTTCTAAAATAATTAGCTTAAGAATCTAGCTTGTTAAATTTTCAACTAGTAGTGATTAAGAAAAATTCATGGCTAACATTTTCCAATATTTACAATCGCATAACAAAGATGTTAGAATTAGGATGTGACTCGAATTTTATTTCAAAGACTATTTGGGAATTCTAGTTGAAATCTATTTGGGAGTTCAATTGGAAGTTTGGGATTTGTGTTTGACTTGAAAATTTGAAAGAGTCCAAGTTGCAATAGGAGAGTAGGAAATCATGCAAGGAGAAGGAAACGTTGAACGGCGCTCATTACGCGCCTCGATCTTGCTCGAATGCTCAGAACAGTAGTCCCAATGCTCGCTTACCGGAAGACGGACGCTCAAGTAGTCGGCCACCACTCGATGACAATCGTTAGCGATGGTCTTATCCGGGAATGAACAGCTCGCGATTTCGGCAAGTTTTTTGAATTCTATTCTATCCCAATTACTTCATTATTGCTTAGACTTGTTATAGTTGAATTTCACCACATCTTATGCTCTTCTTTGCACTATAAATATGAGGAGTAAACCTCTTGAAAAATCATTTTTATTTTTTACATTCTACATAATTTGCAATCCTCCATTATTGATATTAGTGAATTCTCATCTTCTGT